CTCCCTTTTTCCTTTCTTTCCTTCCTTCTTTTTTCACATAAGTAGGCTTTTCCCTGCAAATTTGCCATGCTCCTTGCTCCCAGATACTCAAGGATAATAAGGAATCTTAAATGACCATACACTGATTTTTTCCTCTTTTTATCTAACAAATTCACCTTTCAGAAAGAGAGATATTTGACACAAATGATACCCATCCCTTTCCCCAAGGAGGAAAACACAACTACCCATCAGTCTTTAGGGCCAGGGCTATCCATCATGCAAGGCAGGTTGGGTCTTAACCACAGGCTAGTTGTCAGGAAACCTTATTCAAGTAGACCCTCATCCTGCCCTGAGAATACATTAAGCATAGATGTGCTAACTAATGTGCTTGCATGAAGGCACAATCTGGTATTAACAAGGTTTAAAAGAAGTTTGGTTTTTTCTGCCCCTATGATCCAATCATCCTTTCTTTATGTAACATAGAAATATGAAAATCTGAATTAGGATTTAGAATGAAAGATAATTTAGAATTTAAGAGAATTCAAACAGGTATTAAGTCTGCTTTGATACCATCCTACCGAAAAATTATTTGCTAAGAAAATTAATAGCGTGAAGGAAAAAATGGGGGATTCTAAAAGGAATGTTTCTCCACTTAAGAGAACAACTTTAGAGCACATTGGAATCCTTCATTTACTGACAATCGATATGCTAATTTCAAATAAATTTTTATCTTTTTTTCCCCTAAAGAGCCACTGGATTCTTGCTTGTACTAGAAAGTAATATACTCACATTATATTAAAAAATTATTCAGATCTTTTGCTAATTCCTAATGGTCTTCTTCCAAGTGATATAGAATAGTGAGGTTTGTTTGGATGGGCCATGAGATTATATGAATGAGTTTCTGTTCTCAAGGGATTTATTTATATTTTATTACCAGTGGATCATCAATGGATGTTGTCCCATCAATACATTTCATAACCTACCCATAACTTCTCTTTGTGGATGACTCTCATTCATGTTCTGCTATGTCTTCCCCAGAGGATCTATTAACTATTTTCTCTAGGAGTCTTTATATTTAATGGATAACAATGAAGAATTCTAATCATTATCTTTTGATCTAGCTACTTATTTGACTCCCCTACTTTTGAGGAATACATTCTTTCAATAATATCCATTTTACCAATTCCATCAATGGAAAGATGCTGCATCTAGTTTGCACATACATGAAGCCCTGTATTGCCCTTTGGATTACCTACACTTTGATTCTTCAAAGACTGGAGTGTTCTAAGATGCATAGCCATATGGCATCAGTGGGAGAACAAGATTGACTACCAGGTGAGCAATCAATCAATGAGTATTTATTAAGCACCAAATATGTACCAGGCACTGTTCAAGACAAAAATGAAACAGCCCCTGTCCTCAAGGAGCTTGCAGTCTGTGTGTTAGTTTAGGGGAAGAGATGAGGAGGTGATGAATACTTTGTCCCTTACAACTCATTAAACAAGAAGTTTACAACTTACTTCAATTTTAAGAACCTCCCATGTATCCAGCCCTCCCCCCCCCAAAGCTTGACAAATACCAAATGGGTTCCATTAGCAAATCTAGGTCATTCTTCACCAGCTTTGTCATAGCACAGACTAAAAATCAACAGTATTTACCAAGCAGGAAGGGGAATACTGCTGTCAGATCATTATTTCTCCACTCTGTGTTTATCCCATGTGTGTTTGTTGGAGGAGTTTTGACTCTATAATACTCATTGTCTGCGTCAAGTGGGGAGAGAAAATATACATTTGGGTGACCTTCAGAGAACCCAAGAGTTGGGGAAATTTTCTAAAATGACTGACACCAAGCTATTTGCTTCAACATTTAAATCCGACCTTTGGCTGCTGTTGGATGAATTTTAAATCTATCATAGTGGGTATGCCTTCTTGGATTATGAGGCAGACAATGAAGAGGGTTGATTGTAGGATTACTATATTTCATGTACATATAGAGTCTTAAACATATGCACATGGACATGTGGATGTATCCTATTATTGATTTCCTTAGCACCAAACCAAATGCTTTACTTGGTGTGATAGGCAATGTACAGAGATAATATACCACATGATAACATGATAACATGTTATCATGATAACAATAAAGGAAGAATCCAGACAGGAATAACTCAGGAAATTTGAGGACAGAGGAAACGTTTTCTGCCTAGAGAATCAGAAAAGGCTCCATAGAGAGGTGGCATCTAGGACTCAGCCGTGAAGGAAAATTTAATTCCGTCCCATTCTGTTCAATTCAATTGAACACATCTCTATTATGTGCCTACTATATGCAAGGTTCTAGGAATCTGAAGTTAAGTATTCTAGATAATGGTTCTGAAAGTGAAGCAGGACTGCATTCCAGTCATGGAGACTTCTGAGAAAGTAAATGAGGGCACTAGGTTATCTAGGGAGACTTTTTTTTTTCCAAAAGTCAGCTAGATAATGTGGAGGATGGTTAGCATTTAAAAACAAAGATTACAAGTATGGCACTTAGATTAGCTATTCACAGATCTCTGTTTCCAACCCTCCAGTGGACTCATATTTGCACAGAAGTCTGGGCCTTTGGTCTGTGCTCAGCTCACAAACCTTAACCATGGTTCTTATGAGATTGAGACCTCGAATTGCCTCAGTGGGAAGCAACTGGGACCATGGCTTAGAACATTGATTTTATCCTTTCCCCTGCTTTCTTACTCTCTCTAGAAAGGATAATTCCCTCCTGATGCTAGAAGTCTTACCATCTGCTATAAAAAGGTGATGGAAATTGACCTCAGCATGTAGATGTCTGCTTGCCACTGGCTGGTTTGGGAATGGTGATGATTGAGGTTTTGCAAGCAGTGGAGAGGAAAAAGCAGAGATGGTCATCTCGAAATCACTTATTCCCCAGAACTCTTTTTTTTCTTGGCATTAATACAAATGCTCTCTTCTCCCTCCCTTTCACCCCAGGCTAGAGCAAAAAGCAATAAAGGGCAAACATATGTGAGAATGAGAGAAAGACAAATCATGCCCGTCTCAGCAGCTTTGAAGAGTATAATCCTGGAGAGAGATTAATCAGGGGATGTGGCCTCAGATCTTAACCTCAGCCACTGGGTCCAAAGGCCTGCAAGACATACAAGAACCCAGAGTGGATCAGGGATTAACATGGAGTTCTTTGGCAGAATAAAACTAGGGTTGAGTCAGAGATGCCAAGAGGAGTGAGGAGAGTCAGAGCTAGCTGCAAAGACTGGGGGCCAAGCCATCAAAACAGCATGAAAGTACCACTCTGATGGGCAAAGAATGAGAGGGCAGAGTAAAGCTGAAATTAGACATTCTGTTTGGAATTAAAACATCTCCAGGAAACTGTCTCCCTCTCCTTAGCTTTCTGATAACAAGAAGGAGGCTCGGGAGCAATTTCCACAGTGCCAATTTGCTGTGTAATTATACATCGTCCATTCTACAAGGGCATTTTCTTTGGCTGAAAGCTGTGCCTTCTTTGCCATCATTCGGTGTTCTCCAACAGTGGGGTTAATGGCAGCAGCCCAGGCAGATGAAAACCCCGACATCAAAAACCCTCCACAAAGCTCCTCATTTTAAGCTGGGGAGCATTTGCTTTTTATAATGTTTTGGGCAATTGTTTCCAATTCCCCTGCCTGTGCCTGAGAAAGCCTCCTCCCTTCTGTGCATCCCGAAAATGCCGGCTCTACTGATGACAAAGCTTTCAGGGTGATACGCCCAGCTGGTCCATCGCATTTCAATTCTGCCCATCTCCTCTTAGGGCACCCACTTCTCTGTTAGATCCATAGGAGACCTGGACATTTTGTAGAACCATAAAATGGGAAACTTAGTTGGTGCCAGGTTGGCTCCTATCAATGTGAAACCTCACCCCCCATGAAAGTTTAGGTTTGGTTACACCAGAACATGGTGTATGTCTGAGACACTTTCTGAGACATGTTTTCAATCTGCTCACTAATGAAATCTACCAGAATTCATCAATCCAAATGTGAAGTCCTCTTCTACCTCTCTCTCTACCTCCTGTCCAGCCACCCATCCTATACTAGCAGATTTGCTTTCTTTGACCTGATCCTGGGTGACTCCTCCTATTCATTCTACTCAAACCCTTCTGGACTGACCTATCAGTTTATGAGACATAAATTTCTTAGACTCTGAGTTTTACACCCGTCCATGAACCTGATTTTCACATTTCCCCTTCGCCTTGCTCCTCATCTCTCTCCTTTTCTCTTGTTATCCCCCCTCCCATTTTCTCACCACCTTTTCTTTTCTTTTTCTTTTTTTTTTTTTTTTGTCCCTCCTCCAGGGAATCTCCCTCCTTTCTTAGTTCAGAACTGGGTTTGTTCTCTGAGGGCAAATCAGATGAAAGTATGGCAGGTAGCCTATGATGAGCAACCCCAACACACACCAGCACCAGCACCCTACTTCAGGAAGCTGTCAGACCCAGGTTGAACGCTGGGGTAGAGAGTTGAACAGCAGGTACAAAGGGCCATCACGCTATTTCAGTACATCCACAGACTAGCATATGGGTTTTTTGTCAAATAGCCCAGGGCTCAGCTGTTACTGAGTTGACTATAAAACACTTAGCAAGCTCTGGTCTTCCTATCACTTGCTCTCCACTCTCTCCCCATGTCCTTCCATTGCCATCCATGAAAGCTTTCTTCTCCTCTCATCTACCCACCCCCTTAGCCAAGACGTTCTGAACGGAGGGAGAGGAAAAGTTTCTCTGAGCCATGCAAGAGATTTCTTTCTTGGACTTTCACTACACCATTCGTCGGTCCAGAGGAAGTGGTATTATTGAGAACATGGTAACGCTAGAATAATTCCTCCGAAGGGTTATCTGTGCCTTTCCAGGGAGCTCGAGGCTCCTTTAACCAATTAGCTCCGGTGTTCCTCTGGGAGAAACGGAGAACTGCTTCCCTAGAAGAAGGGAGCATCAGCCTACATACTCCCCAGCCCCTGCCCCGGTGTCTGGAGCCACCGCGCCCGCGGGAGCATTACCTTGGGAGAGGTTTGCGGGCGGTGATACTGGCGACGATGATGCTCTCGGGCCGGGGGGTGGCCACGGCTTTGAAGGTCCCTTGCCAGAACTTCTCAAAGAGCTGTTTCTCACCCTGCTGCACGCTCGCCATGGTCCCGCCCAGAGGCCCCCGGAGCCTCGGGCGCTGTCCAAAGTGCTGAAATGTACGTTCCAAATGGGGGCGCTCCGGGGAGGCTCCGTTGCCCAGAAGCCACGGTCCTCCGGGGCGCCTCGTTCAGCCTCTGATATATCCAGGGGAAGAAAGAAAGATTGGTGCGTGTGTGTGTGTGTGTGTGTGTGTGTGTGTGTGTGTGTGTGTGTGTG